TGCGTTAGTTAACTCTAGAAGAAAAAAAAACACATTAAGCAATTAAGTATTAGAACCATTTTATATGTTTATTTTGAGAAGAACAAATCATATGTTAAGAAAATCGTATAAAAACAACCAATTTAATCGAGCTATATTTTAATAAAGTCAGCAACTGACTATGAGAAGTACCTTGATTAATATTATAATTTAAGAGCGTAACAAAAAGTGAAACAATTCATGTACGTGAGAAAGCAATTTGAGATAAAAGAACAAAGAATAATTTAATATAAATACTATTAACTAAAATATATTTAGTTGTACATGTATTTTTTAAAGAAAGATTACAAAGAGATAGAAACCATCTGAACTATGCGTAAACTAAGATTTTTCAAATAATTACCTGTAGTAAATCAGGAATACTCCGTGTTTCAAGTAAAGCTGCGTTAGTTAACTCTAGAAGAAAAAAAAACACATTAAGCAATTAAGTATTAGAACCATTTTATATGTTTATTTTGAGAAGAACAAGTCATATGTTAAGAAAATCTTATAAAAACAACCAATTTAATCGAGCTATATTTTAATAAAGTCGGCAACTGACTATGAGAAGTACCTTGATAATTATTATAATTTAAGAGCGTAACAAAAAGTGAGTCAATTCATGTACGTGAGAAAGCAATTTGAGATAAAAGAACAAAGAATAATTTAATATAAAAATTGTTAATTAAAATATATAGTTTTCTATTATGATTATTAGAATGTGAAGAAATTTTTACGTATGTCAATAAAGCAATCCTCAATAAAAAACAAAGTATAATTTTAGGCAATCACATTTTACCTTTTATAATCCAAACAAGTTAATAATTAATGTATTAGAGTCATATTTAGATATCTCGTTTTGAGAAGAACAATTTATACGTTTATACATTGTTAGTTAAGGAAATCGGTAACCATTTTTCAATCTTAAAAATGTTTAGTTATTCAGTTTAATCAGTCCATATTTTAACAAATACAAAAACAACAAAAGGTAATTAATATTATCATTAGCACTACAACAAAATATGAGGTGAACTTGAATAAACATACATTTATTTTGACAAGGACAATGTATATTATAAGATATTTTTTATCCTAAATCATTTATTTTTTATTATAATATAATGATTTGAGGTAAATGATATAGTTTTTTGTTTGTATATATCACAAGAAAGATTATTTGCGGTTTACATAACATCTGTTACAAAATGTGAGACATTAAATACGTATAGTGATTTAGCGATATTGGAATACCAATTTTCTTAAAAACATAAAACCATTGACTATACACAGAATAGACTTCCCAAGTAATGTAAACATTTGAAGCAAAAAAGAAACGTAGTGCAATCTGTTAAGTGATAAATCAATCAGCTGTTTGCTATGTACTGCATTAGTTTTAATTTATATTCAACAAAATACACTAGTAAACTCTAGTGAGATGGTCTTCATCTATTTTATTGGCCTCAAATTTTTATATCACGTGAAAAGACTAAAAACTCACTGCCAATACCTAAAATATTTCTAATCGAAAGCCGTTTTATTCTGTAGAAACAAAATTATTATAAAATAGGCGGTAAAAATGGTTGTAACGTATATTGTTGTATTCATACAGCAAAAGAATTTTTGAGTTGAGATAAGTGTTTTGTAAGCGCAGATTTACCGAAATATTTGTTTATAGTCTTGTAAAGTTTTCATATAATTAGGATTATATATGAAAGATATGTTAGTTTCGTTTTTATATTATGAGAAAGGTTGTATTTAAATGATTAGATGAAATAGTGGTAGGATCTTTTATACAAATAGTTGAGCTAATTTAAGTAATGATTAAGGAGTGAGCTTCTTATAAATAAATAGTAAAAGCTAATATATATTAGGATATTATATGTATATGACAAGAAAAATTAATTACCTGTATATTTAGGGAATATTCCACAAATCACAATGGGGCGACGTGTATCACAAACTGGAAACACTTAAACTTAAAATACAACAGGGAAATATAATTAAAACTCTGGAAATTACAAAATGTGACAGGATAAAATTGCTTGACACAAAGCAGTACGCAATACGAATGAAGCGTGTCTAGTTTGCGCGACAAACAACAATCTTGAACACAATGCAGAAACAATAATAGGTTAACTTACCTCCTACATAGATAAAATAATCCATTAACAAAAAGCCGTAACACCGCTAAGCGTAATCAGTGACGCTAGAAAAAGTAAAGCAATAACAGTTAATCACATGTCGGTCCCCCGCGAGAACGAGTAGGCCTAGTTATTTATAGGCACACACATGCGAACACTCACATCTGTTGTCGTTCCGTGAGAATCATCTCTCGGAAGATTGAAACGTCTCTGTGCAAACATTTAGAATTTCTGTAAACACTATATAAGTGTTAACAGAGTAAACTACAGATCATTTGACTCTTAGCTACCGTCAGGAAAACATGTCTGCAAGAAATTCAGCTCCTATTCAAGACCCCAAAATATCTTCAACATCGAATATCTCAAATAATAATATTCAAGAACAAAACACTCAAGAACAAAACACTCAAGAACAAAACGCAGTAGACGTAACTATGTCACCGATACAGAACTCACAAGTATCTAGTACCTCGTACTTTCTCCGCCCAGAGTTCGAAGATTATATGAGACAGCTAGTTGATGGATAGTTAAATGGAACAATACATATTTTTACAATCCAGTACATGGTATATTTGAAACATTAAAGCTGAACATTTAAAAAAACACATTCAGACAACCTTGACCTAATAACAATACCAACCAATCCACAACATACATCGCCAGAGTCGCTGCGTAATTCACGCTGCTCCACAATCACAAAATACTTACCAATTACCTAATTATGACGTCACGGGATCACCCCCGTGTTTGGCTACTACTCATTTGCATTATTTGTTGCCAATGAAGCCGCAAGACCATATAAACTAGTAGGTCCCTAACAGTTTAAGAATAAAAGCCAACTTCACTTCAAGTATTCCACTACACCTATCATTCCGTAGAGAGATTATATTGACAACTTTATGTTATTGATAAGGCTGAGACAACTAACTGACATCCCCCATGTCAAGGAATTCCAGCTTTAACAGTAACCCCACAATAAATTTCTCATAACTATGCTAGAGGGTTCATTCATTGGCACAGAAGTACGATATGAACTGACGCGACGTGACGAAGGAAAAATCAAACTTACACTGTAACGGACATACCTCCCTTTGAAGTTAGAACATTTCTTCCCAAAAAATATTTTCTTTTCAAATAAAATCATATTACACTGATGAAATCACAGAAGTGTTTAACTACAAAAGACCCACCAATACGATTTTAATACTATTTAAAGGTTCTTCCAAAGGAAGAGATATCATATAACATACTAATAATAACTCCGATGAGTCAAATGACGTACGGTATGGGAAATATTTTATTCATTGAATGATCAACCAAATTTGGCAACTAACGCAATTAAAATCATTATTGTTTTCACACTTACTACCCTTTAAACAATGCTAAATGCTCAAAATATGTATATTTCACCCAATTTATCGCAGTTAGATGAATTAACGTAAGCCTTGAAAGTAACCGTCGATTTCGACGGGTTTCCCCTAGTTTTTCTAGTAATCGTGCAATTAGCCTAGTGTGACCCGTGTTTAACAAGAAGTACTGCTTGGGTGCTCCTGTCCTGACCACACTTTCTTCCGTTGCCCGCGGACGCATTGTGGAATGCCCAGGCTCAACACTATCTGACTGCTTTTTTTGGACTCAATGATGACGGACGGTAAAGGCAGTGGTGAGCACTTTTTCACCTCAAATTAGTTGACGAATATCGAAACTGGAAAATCGATACTTTTACAGCTCGATTGTTTTTAGAATTTAGTACATCGCGATATCGATAGTCCACTCCCAGAGTCCAATCGTTGGTCCAGATTCCCACTCCATCCATTATTCCCGTTCTCCTTTGACTTGACGACAGTTTGACTAATTGTAGATCATTAGGAGAGAACATATAATTGTAGCGCCTAGAGACGTAATGTCTGTTCATAACATAATTCATCATTAAGCTTTAAAATTATTAGTCTTAAGAGTTAGAAAAGAGTAAATTACACACCCTCTCAGGAAGGAGGAATTTTGGCATTTTTTACAAGAGCTGGGTTGATAATAACAATAATAATACAAATTAGGTAATTGAAATGGCCTCCATCTGATGATATTCAGTTTTCATTAAAAGAAATTCTGGTCAATGAACATAACCTTAGCAATAAGCTTTTCAACTGTTGACATTGAATTTTTGTTCCCATTACTATCTACTGATAAATAGAAACAGAAGAAGAATTTGTTCGTACGAATTTATGTATTCTCTTAAAAAATTGACATTACGTCTCTAGGCGCTACAATTATGTATTCTCTCCTAATGATCGACCATTTTATTAAATTCAAACTGTCAAGTCACAAGTCAAAGGAGAACGGGAATGGATGGAGTGGGAGGGGACTATTGATATCGCGATGTACTAAATTCTAAAAACAATCGAGCTGTAAAAGTATCGATTTTCCAGTTTCGATATTCGTCAACTAATTTGAGGTGAAAAAATGTTCACCGAAGGCAGTTTGACCTATCACGTATCGTCAAGGAGCTCTCCGCGTAAAGAAGCTCAACCTTGAACAGGTTGTGGGTAGCTTAGGTTATAAAAACTGAATCCCAGAAACAATGTGGGCCATGAGGGCTGAGACCACATGCCTAGATCTGAAGACAAAAGACAATAATCACATGTCTGTATCTATATTTAAAAGAGTAGTTTTTATAATTGATTATTGGGACATTTATATAATCAATGATTTGGTCAATTTCAGAAATCTTCCTTTTCAGTCTGGTCTAGCCGGTCACATGCCACAAATCAAGCTAGGGCTTATGACTGAATTAAAAAGAAGAAAAAGGCATCTAAGTTAATGTTGTGTCGTCTGTCAGTGCACTGCAAATTCGCTTTGTGCTTCTGCGACTGCTAGTTAGTAGGAGTAGGTTAGGTTAATAACTTTTATAAGTTTTCGTATTGTTGTCAGGCAGGACCTATTATTAGAATTGGACATGGATTTGGCAATATTCTTTGGCACAATACTCTAAATTTGTTATGACTTTTGACATACGACTATTTAAATCATGTCATTAGGGGTGCTATGGAACTCTAATATTCTTTCTCTTTATAATAAAGTTTTCATTCATTCAAGGAATCTGTACATATTTAATACTACTAATGCTGCAAACAAATCTCTCTCAAAACAAGGAAAAATATTTAGTAAACTTATTTTTGGAGCAAAAAAGAAAAGGTAAGTAGCCTATGTTGAGCAAATGAACCATAGCCTTAAGTTAGCCTATGTAGCTTTTATTAAAGACCAAATTAAATAATATTATTAGGCTATCAGGGTAGACTTCCGTATCTGTTGGCACAAACAACCGAATGAAATTATCTCTATTCAAAGCCAGTGGCATTTAAAATACCCCCGCCGCAGCAAACCAGCAGACTAAGCGAATTTCCATTTGACTGATTGGATTTACACTGAAATGTCTACATAAAAATATAACATTTATTCCCGATTTAAATAGAATTAGTTTAACAAGTACTTAGGTTTGCTGCATCAGGGAGGGTAAAACTATTTTTTTTTTGTAAAATGTTAATAGTTAGTAAGAAACAAAAAACATTTTCCAAATTTGATCAAAATATGTTCATAAACAAGCAAACTACAACAGTTTACTCATTCTCCATAAGAATAACATGGGAATTTAAAATTTACAAATTTTTGGAATTTTCTCCGTAAACATTAGGCGCATAATAACGCTTCAATATACTAAATTATTTGTTTTTTGAAGCTCTACAAAATGGTATGGAAATAAATTGCTAAATTTTATGTTTTTTGGGTCAAAAATGGGAAAAACCTATTTTTACCCCATAAAACCCCCCGTAAACACCCGTTCCCATGGTCCGATCATGCTGGATCGCGAACTCGTTCGAATAAACTTATGTTTACACGTTTGTACCAAATTTCATCAAAATCGGATCATTTTTGCTCGAGTTATCGTGCTGACACATATATATATATATATATAAATATATAAATATATATATATATATATATGAATTTAAACGGATGGTGTTTTTGGCCTCTAGGGACCTCAAAACGAAAAAAAAAATCGGTCCCGCGTCCAGGTCTTACCATGAGTACTACGGTAATAGCTTATTCCCTATATGGGAAATTCGCTAAAAATAATGGAGTAGGCCTAAATTCAAACACAATTTAGGAAAAATGGTTTAAACCCATTGAAGTTTTGTGGATAAGTTATGCCGAGACTTGAACCCATTCCTCTCGCAAGTACGAGATGCAAACCACTAGGCTAGCAACACACCCTAAAGACACTTGTTTAGGACCCCACTATTGGTTAGTGTGTTAGCTCAAGCTCAGATTAGCCTAACTTAATTGCTGAGCGGCCTGAGCTGGTGCCACAAGTGTTGCATCTGTTACAAAATTTGCTAAGCCAGAAAATTAGTGGTTACTTTCGTATTATACGGAGGCCACCCTTATACAGCACGCTGCGGCGGTTATGTTAGGTTGGGTTATCATAAATATATTTGTAGGACTTTCCTCGTCCAAATCCCTTCCAAGTGGGCCAAGGTCAGGTCTTTGACCGAAGTGCTTGCATCATCTGTCACCTCGCCTGTATCTGGTCCAGTGTCCTGAGTGATGACTCATCTGGTATCCTTTGTTTCACAACGAAACGATAAAGTCCTACAAACATATTTATGATTGCCCAATCTAACATAACCGCCGCAACGCGCTGTATACCTACTTGCCGGAGTGCATGTGGCTGCTAGCGGCAGCTACGTATTGAACTCAATCCACTCCGATATTGCTGCCTTCTGGAAGGCATAACTGGCAGAACTGTAGCCTATGGGTTTAACGGATCTTCTCTAAATTTTCTTTCATCTTATTTAAAAAACCGGAAACAACTAGTAAATTCTAATGGGAAAAAATCACAAGAAAGGGAAGTAACTTGGGGCGTGCCACAGGGATCAGTCCTTGGCCCACTTCTGTTTTTAATTTACATGAATGACCTTCTAATGGCAATAAATAGCCTACTAAAACTATTCTTTACGCGGATGATACAACTTTTTTTCATGAAAACAATAACCAACTTGTACTTCAAAATTTAGTCCAAGTCACAAAATTAAGCACATCCAAAAGGTTTCATGCCAATGGCTTTCTATTGAATGACTGTAAAACTCAAGAAATAAAATTTACATTGAAACATGATTCTGCCTTTAATAATGAAAATAGTGCTGTCACTACAAAATTTTTGGGTCTTCATATTGATAATAAACTATCCTGGAATGAGCATATAAATTATTTGTCTACTAGACTATCTCGAGTAATTTTTCTTCTTGGTCGTCTCAAAGATGTAATTCCAAAGAACTATTTGAGATCGGCTTATTTTGCATATTTTCAGTCTGTAATGAGATATGGATTGATATTCTGGGGTGGGTGTGGAAGAATGAATGAAATTATAATCCTACAGAAGGGGGCTATCAGAGCTATATGAATGGATCAGAGCCAGACGAGCACTGCAAGCCTCTTTTTAAGGATTTTAAGATTCAAACTGTAATAAATTTGTTTATTTATGATCTTGCCCTTTATATATTAAAAAAAACCCATCACCTAAAATTCAATAATCATAATCACAATACCAGATTTAAAAATAGTGCCTTGTTAGAATCACATCGTCTGAGTAAGACTAGCAAGAGCCACATAGTGTTATCAACTAAAGTATACAACCTTTTAAAACACAATATTGATGCTTATCCGCATGAAAAATTCAAGTCGTTGTTTTATAATTGGCTATAACCCTGCTGCTAACCTGTTGCTTTATCAGGTCCTTATATTGTTGTTTGTTTAGTCATATGTACATATTTTAGTTATTAAGCCCTATTGTTTTTTCAAAATATTGGAAGTGTTTTTGATTTTGTTTTGTTTGACGATTGATGTATAATCATGATTTTGACTTTGTCGATGATCTAATGGATCCTTATGACAAATAAAGATTATTATTATTATTACTCAAAGGCTGCTAATTTTAATCAATGTCAAATTTGGACAGTAAGTCAATTAAAGTAGGGCATGTTCTTTTCAATTATGAAATTATTTTTAGTCTCGGGTAAAAAAAAATCCTTCTAAAATAATTGGCCTCTGTATAATACGAAAGTACCTAAAAGTGTCTTGATATTTTAAGACTGTAAGTTATCTGTTTTTCTTTTTATATTAGAAAATTTATCTTCGATCAATCACAAGGACCAGCTGGAAACAAACTTAGCGTGGGTCAACATTTGAAATACAACAAGGAGAATAGCAGGAGGATTGCGGTTTTAAACACACTTTTTATGAAGCACATTTCCGATCTTCTAGTCACTGGCAACATAGGGGTCGATGTGATTGGCAGAGGCTTAGAAATATCTAGAGTAAGTACAGAAAATAATATGAATATACATCTATATATATAATACGCTAAGCCGATTTTTGTGAACAGAACTCCTCCCTCATTTTTGGACCGATTTTGATGATTAAAGTGTCAAAAAAATTGCCCTGATCTGTAGTTTTGCAAAGTGTTTTTCGTTTTTTGATATCTTTATTAGTTTGGGCAGGATCTTCCATCAAAGTTGAGTTTTCTCCCATAAGATTAACATGAGGGAATCTAAATATTAAATTGGAAACTTTGTATCCACTAATTTGAGAGAACGGCTGGGCGTAGAAACTTGGTAGAGGTGTCCAAAGAAAGGTCTTGGTCTGTAGATGAGTTATCAAAAGAAAAACGAAGTAAATTCGCTTAGGGCTCTGCCCTAGAAGCCTTTAAAAATCCCTCCACAGATTTGTTTACATTTTGGTCATGTGGATAATACTTTTTAATAAAACAGCTGTTAATTTTAAAATTGTATTTTAAACAACACACATTTATTGGGAGTTACTGAATTGTCCAAAAGAAGTATTTGCAATGTTATTTTCTGATTTTAAAATTGATTTTCTTCTGTATCATGTCATGTGTTCCAATATAAAGTTCCATTACAAAATCAGTGGAAAATCCTTTTATAACACTAACTCTTACAATTATTTCTTATAGAACTATCTTCTATCTATTTTACTGGTTGATTTCTGCCTCTTTCACACCTTTTCCCTATATTTTATCATATTTTTCTAGACGGATCATCATAGGTTCATGAGATTATTGTCATACTGTACATGCTTTCAATCATTAGAAAAATCTTCGATTGTGTAATACAATACAAAATAATACAAGTGCAGGCGAAGGGCAGGTGCCAAATTGAGCCGTGTCCATATTTAAAAAATGAATAATGGTTTACAGCAACTGGATAAAACATTTTACAATATTTATTTAGAAATATGTGCATGATTTAGAAAGTCATTAAGCTGGAAAACTGCAATATACTGCAGACTTTTCAGAGAGGTTACTTCGATTACAGGTAACAACCAATTAACATTATTTTTTGCTTTTTGGAAACGCCACATTACTATGTCATTTGTATTATTTTTTCCCAATGAAGCTGCACAACTATATAAATGAGGAGGCCCCTAAAGTTCAAGAATAAAAGCCAACTTCACTTCATGTATATTCCACTACACCTAACATTCCGTAGAGAGATTATATTGACAACTTTATGTAACTTATAAGGCTGAGACAACTAACTGACATCCCCCATGTCAAGGACAGCTTTAACAGTAACCCCACAACCAATTTCTCAAAACTGTGCTAGAGGGTTATTCATTGGCTTAGAAGTACGATACAAACTGACGCGACGTGACGAAGGAAAAATCAAACTTACACTGTAACGGATATACCTCTCTTTGAAGTTAGAACGTGTCTTCCCAACAAACAGATTTCTTCTTCAAATAAAATCATAGATTAATCTGCATTACACCGATGAAATCATGGAAGTGTTTAAGTACAAAGATACATCAATACGATTTTAATACTATTTAAAGGTTCTTCCAAACGAAGAGATACCAGATAGCATACTAACAACTCTGATGACGTACAGTATGGGAAATATTTTATTCATTGAATGATCAACCATATTTGGTAACTAACACAATTAATTTCATTATTGTTTTTACACTTATTAATCTTTAAACATTGCTAAATGCTCAAAATATGTATAATTTCACTCAATTTATCGCAGTTAGATGAATAAGTGTAAGCCTTGAAAATAACCGTCGATTTCGACGGGTTTCACCTAGTTGTGTATATTTTACTTTAGTTACATTCAATGCTGTGAACTTTCTTGGAGAAAATTCAGGGTTGTGGTAACCTAGCTATTAAATTTATTTATTTATTCACTCAATTAAAGGTATTATAATCTAATACAAGTTGTTTCAAGAACATTCGAGTAACAAAAATAAAATATACAAAAATATGTAAAAATTTAACAAATTAACATTGTTTGCAGATTTCTATGAACCCGAACTTCAATCAGCTGAATGTATTCTGGGGCTGTAACAAGGATGAGAATGTAGCAGATCTTGAAAGTGTCTTACCAAATGTCGGCTATACCTTGAGACATGAGCTGAGCCAGCTGAAAGTAATTGGAGTTGTCCCGAGAATACTTTTCATTAAAGGTATGAAACGTACCTAGGTAATTAGAAGCTCAACAATGTAAGTTTCTATTAGAAAATAGATTAAAATAGACAAATAATACATAAACAGAGATATTTTTTAGCCGTTAGGTCTTTCTTCAGTAGTAGCATTGACTATTGGATACAGAAGTTGTTGTATTAATAGTCAAAGGTAGTTGACTGTTCTGGTTGGGAGTTCTTGCTCAGCAAATTCTGTGATTATGTTTTATTTGTGGATTTTGTCCGTCCGTTAGCAAATTTTTATAGAGGGTTATTAATAGAGATCCAAGTAATCTAAATTTATTTTAAAAATGTAGGATAAGTTGTCCTGACTTTAACAAAACTATTTCAGACAAACACTTCACGGATGGAGCAAAAGTAGACTATCTCCTACGCATAGCAGACTTCGGAGATGATCATGAACCAAAAGAGCTAGAGTCTGACTTTAAAATTGATTCTACTGTTTCTGTAAGTAGCCTAATTCAATTTAACACGTTCACTGCGTTACGAGATCCCGGGGTCTCGTATCGCACCTAGCCCGTGGTGCGGGACCGACAACTTGCTATTTTTCCGTAAATTACGACATTGATATTTTGGCCTACGATTATCGTAAAGAAATGAAACTTGTACATAAATAATGTATTTTTATTGCTGAAACAGCTAGCATTCATGAAACAAACGAGATACATAGATCTCGTAACGCACTGAAGTAATAAACTTTTACTTTATTACGATACGAGACCTCTGGATCTCGTATCAAAAATAGTTGCTCCAAGCGCCACAGGTGGCGATAGTAGTCTAACATCAACAGAGAGCGCTAGGGTTATTTGTTGATATATTGAAAGCTAACCTAATCATTGCGTTTTAGTGTGGTTAACTGTGTGTACACTGTTTATTGAGTTTTTGTAAGTATGTTTTCGTCTGATGAGGACAACCCTGACGACCCTCAAGTCCCTGACGATCCTGCTAAGGTGTACAATACGCGTAAACGACCAAAACTTATTGTTGTGAATGCCAGTAATAGTGCTTTCTTGGAACAACTGGTTACGGAAGGATTGGATGGGCCGGTCCCTAGTAGTGCATTATCCGAAAGTAGTGACGATGAGCAAGAACTATGTGATTTCGATGGAAGCGATATTGAAGATCCTGACTATGTACCATCATCGGACGATGCTTTGTCAGGTGGCGATGGAGAAAACGATGAAGATGACAACTGCGAGATGGATGTGACAGCGATGACGGATGGGAGAACATTTCGTCAAGATTGTGACCAACGCCGTAAACTAACCGGCAGACATCTTGTCAACCACACACTCGGCGGAGGCGGAGACGATTGGACAATGGGCGAAGGCGGGGACGACAGGGCAGTCGGCGGAGGCGGGGACGATGGAACAGTCGGCGAAGGCGGCGAAGATGGAACAGTTGGTGGACGAGGTGAGGAAGATGGAACAGTCGGTGGAGGTGGTAGGGGCACGATCACGACCTCAGGTGGTACCAGCACATCGGAAGGACCTGACATAAACCAATTCGGGTGCTGTTGGGTCGAAGACAAATCACCTTTTACTTTACCTGAGACAGTTTATTTTGAAGAGTTTTGTGGAAATTCAAAAGTGAACATTAACGTTGACAACCCTGCTTCACCTATTGATATTTATCTCCACTTTCTAGACGAAGAGCTCTGGGACTACATGGCCCAAGAAACAAACAGGTATGCTTTATCAATTTTTATCATTTAACCAACCTTCTGCAAAATCAAGGTCTAATGATTGGCTTCCCACAACATCTGCTGAAATGAAAAAATTCGTAGGTATTATGATTTGTATGGGCCTAGTTCAACTGCCGCGCATCAATTTGTATTGGTCTAAGAATCCGTTATATGGAAACCCGTTGATTAAACAAACCATGACGAGAGACCGCTTCTTGTTGATAAAGAAGTTTTGGCATTTTGTGAATAATGAACGGATTCCTGACCAAAATGAATAAGGCCCATAAGTATGGAGTATAAGCTGTGTACAGTTGACGGCTATACACTTAAAATGATTTTGTATGCTGGGAAGAGCACAAACAGCCCCCATGGGCACACCTATGGTGTGGTTTTAGATCTAATGGGGGATTTTGAAAGTGACGATGTCCTGATTGAAGGATTTCTCAACAAAGGAAGGACCTTAATAACTGACAACTTTTACACTGGCATACCCATCGTCGAAAAACTCCTAGAACTGAAACGAGGATGTGTGGAACAGTAAATGTGAACAGAAAGGGATTGCCTAAAGGATTGAAAACTAAGTTGAAAAGGGGCCAATGCATCATGGTACAAAAGTGGTAAAATGGACGGATAAAAGAAACGTGACAATGGTGTCATCATCCCCTAATCATGACAGTACCCTAGTAAATTCAGGGAGAAGAAATAGAACAAATGAGCCGATACTGAAGCCTAAGTGTGTGCTTGACTATAATAACGTGAAGAAGGGAGTTGACTACAGTGATCAGATGTCGTCATACTTACTACACAACGTTACGAAGAAATCTCAAGTGGTATAAAAAAGTTGCCCTTGAGCTCATTACGGGAACCACATTGGTGAACTCGTGGGTTATTTACGGGAAGCTGAACAACGACAAAATGCCTGTGCTTAAGTTTAGGGAATCAGTTGCTTTAAGCCTAATGGGCCTGGACGAGGCTCCTGTAAGACATATGACACCACCACAAAGAAAGAGGCCAGCTCATTCTCTCAGCAAATCAGAGGGTGAGGGAAAGAAGAAAAGGCATCGTTGCAGAGGATGCTATGAGAAACTAAGGAAAACATCCTCTTCAAGAGAGGCTGATAAGAAAACCAAAACAGTGAACACCTTCTGCAAAGACTGTCCAGACCAACCCTTTTTTTGCCTGGAATGTTTCAATGAGAAACATGTGTAATTTTAATTTTAGTATTCAGTGTCTTTGAGAACATCAACATTTTATTCATATGAAAAATATAAGAATCTTGAAGGGCTTATTTGACAAAATATTTTATAACCTAATATTATTATAATAATTATAATAATTATTATAATTATTATAACCTAACCTAACCTAACCTAACCTAACCACAGTATATTTCTTTAGATATTTTCATTCAACACTTAAAACATTGGAATTTTTATTTTGTATAATAATATTACACATTTTTACTATATTGCAATCCATGTTTTAAAATTGTAATGGAATAAATAATGTGCAAACATATTATTCATTTATATTTTTTTAACCTAGAATCAGCCATGAGAAAACGTATTATTATAAAAAGTTTAATTTTATATCTATAAAGTGATCAAATATTAATTTTATTGCAGTCGATTATTAGGAATTAGGATATTTGTAAATAAATAGAAATCACATGTTGTATTGTAAATAAATACAAATAAATTATGAAGTATTACAAATGTGCGATACGAGATCTCGGGGTCTCGTACAATGATGTCATATTCAGTTCCTGGGCTGGCTGAAGATTGTCAACATTGTACTGGTTCAAATAAACAAACACAGAGCGCCCACTCTCCATTTATTTCGAGGTTATGATGCGCAAAAGATTACTGCGCAACGTAATCTCGGGGTCTCGTATCGTACCTGGGTAATCATAGCGGACGAGACCTATAGATCTCGTAACGCACCAGTGTAATAATGCGGGAAAATATATAACGCAGTGAACGTGTTAAGACACTCAACATCTAATCCATCTATAATTCTATTATAAATTTGAGGTGGTGTCTATCTGTCTGTCTGGGCAGCTGTCACGACTAAAATACTAAACCGATATGCCTGCAGCCAAAATTAAGCACAAAGATGGTCCACATATCTAGGAATATATCTATCTACTTCCCTGAGTCCCTCTTGGGCTACGCCCCTTGGATGTCCAAAGTTTAAATATTGGTTTCCATGGAAGCATGAGAAAATTCACAATGTTTACATTAAAATTTAAACAATCAGAACTGCCAAATGCTCATTTCACAATTTCAGACAGCTGATCCATAGAAATAAATATATTTTACACAATAATTATGTGGTAGGATTATTTAATCTAAAACTTTATCATAGAATATGTATTCTAAATCTATTTCAATGAAAATTATGAACCTGATTTTCCTTCCCGTTGCGAAGCACGGGTACAGCAGCCACTGTAGTTCCTTATGAAGTTTGTGATGTTATCAGTTTCAAGAACTTGTTATAATCAAGTTATCATTTTTTTTGCCTTGTGTTCTTGATTGAAGTCCATATTTATTCAATCCTACTATCCTACTAATATTATAAATGAGAAAGTTTGGATGTATGTTTGTGACAAGTAAACGTGAAAAATACTGGTCGGATCGGGCTAAAATTTGGTGTGATGATAGTTCACATTCCCGATTAACATATAGACGCATTCTTATCTCAAAAGTCCTTTCGGGCTCCGCCCCAGTGGACCTGGAGTTTCCCATGTTAACCTTATGAGTAATCATATTTAAAAGGAATAAAAGAATTTTGTCAGCTGTTTCAACTACACAAGTTGGTTCTATGATATTAAATAGCATTAAAAAGTTATAAGGTTTACCAACAGGGTGCAGTACTATTAACTTTTTTGCATTTTGTGTCCTCTTCCAGTTGCAAAGCACGGGTACAACAGCTAGTAATGCATATTTTCAGGGTCACGCTAAAATACAAAAATCCATTATACTATTTAGAACTGTTTGTGAGTCACTGTCCTTTCTTCACATCACTAAGATTACACGTGATGAGGTGGTGGCAGGTGTGGGTCGAAAGTTCCATAGCGGGAGGTTCACTTCCATCATAATGCACAAAACGATCAATTTTGGACTGGTTTTCCCGAATTGTACCTGCAATGTTGCCTGTTTTTACAGGATTTCCAGATCGGATGGATTTGGTTTCTATTTCATAAACAGTTTTTAAAATGATGCAATTGTTAGAATCTTCTTTGATCTAACAATTACAAAAAACAGCACAGGAAAAGTAATTATCAGAATATTCAGAATAATATAGAAAACCCACGGCAATAGGATCTCCTGACACCAGCTGACTAACCATCCACACAATCAACAAATAGCAGCGTTTCAATATTTTACTTCTCAACTATAACCTCGTTAACCAGGAATATGAATAAGAAAAGAACATAACAAAAACATTAGCAATAAACGGATTCAATCCCACCATAATCAACATAAAAAAATGGAAATGGAAATAAAACACATATCTGAAAATGAAACTAGAACCATAAACCTTGATCCGAAACTAAAACACATACTAACTGATTTCACTGACGAAATATCCAGGGAAATCGGTAAAGCTTTAAAAAACCTGGCTAAGCACTTGCATTTAACAAGTCAAGAGGTACACAACCCAATACCACTATGCAACATTACAAATTAAACCCACCCAACAGAAAAGGATAGAGCTGTATACAAAACAACTTTTAAATCCCTCTGTACCAAATAATACATTGAGCGCTTTTTGGAACACGTATCGGTGCAGGAAATGTGTCCAAAAAATGTGTCGTTCTGGGAGCCCTGGCGACATTATGAATGTATTATCTACTACTGTTATAGCTTTTAACAAATAGTAACTGATTATTTGTACAGAAACTGAGATTTGAAAACAACTGTTTTTATTCTTTCAGCCTCAAAGTAAATCAAGTCAAGAACAAACAGTAGAAGAAATACCTGTAGAAGATGTAGAAGTAATGCCACCAATGAGTCAAGATACTTTCAATCTGGACCATCAATACATTATGCATAAGGTAGTACAAGATTACAACACTTTGTATGCTTTTATGGCGGGTTCCAGATTATTCAGTAACAATTTTTCATATTGTCATTGTTGGTTTTGCCAAGCCTTAGAATCAGCAAGTATAACATAAGTTTATGACAACCATTGTCAGTGCAGCTTCCAAAGCACTATATACTATCTACTATTCAATTTGAATTTATGTTCAGTATGTTCAGTTTGTTTCGCTGTCAATTTAAGGATCAGTAGGCCTACAGTGTAATTGAACAATTATTTTTCAATTCTATTCTAATAATTAGAAATTTTAATGAACCATCTAGAATAAATAATATGCTTGGCTCTGAGTTTATAATAAATGTAAATACTTAAGAATTATGATATCAAAACATTTTAATTAAAAATAAAATGTAGAAAGGATAAATAAACATGACTACAAACCAAGCTTATAATCAGCTTAGTTAAGCTTAGCTAAGCTTAAGACTCAAGAAAGGTATTGAGATGCCAATGGTAAAAGAATGTTTAATTCACTCTTTACTCTTGAAAAGTCCTGCATTCAGTGACCCCCTCCCCCCCTTTTGCCAATGCAATTATGTAAAATAAAAAATAAAAACAATTACCGGTACTATATTTGGCAGAACCAAACCCCAAGATATTCATTCTCTAGTTAAAGTATGGCAGCTTATTTATAATATCTACTGCGACACAGCCCAATTCTCAGTTTTCTGATAAAAAAAAAATAACAATCGTCAATTACATTTTATAAAAGGGTTGTCTGTAAATTAAGGTTTCCAATGAGCTCCAAACAAGCTAGGCCTAATTCAAATTTGACACCATCATCGCTGTGTTCTTTACTTGTCCCGCTGGTATTTTTACTGATTCTTATCTGTATGAGATGAATAGTTTCGTTGCAGTAGTTGTGTAAGAAACTCGACTCCCCTGCCAAGTATGAATTATCTGATTTAAATTGCTCGCTTGGTCGCAACTGGAGCTCATGTTATTGGCATTTAACAAATCCAATCAAATGTGTAATAAATTCAAACCAAAAGCAGTAAAGGGTGGCCAAAAAAACCGGAAGTTTTTAAAATAATCGTTTCTTATTAGTTTTTGTGTGAATCATAAATTGTATTAAATAAAATTGTTCATAGACTTTTCCAATGTAAGAAACACACTATTTACTGAACATATTTGGCTACACTTGTCTGATGCCTTATACTAATAGAAAACAATGTCAGTCAGGTGGAGTCCACTTTCATCCATGCCGGTTTGTATCATGCTCTTGAATTATTCCATTACATGTATGAGCATTTCACTGCCGCCATTAATTGTTGCCACTTCCTAATGAAATGCATCCATAAGCTTCATTAACGTTAGGGGTTTTTGAGTTTAGACTCAAAATCGTTTGACCTTTGGACCCCAGTATATCACGAAAACATAAAATAACCCTTCTTAGAAACATAATAGGCCTACACACCACGGCCGTTGAATAATGAGCCAAGATGTCGGTGCATCTTGTTGAAAATAAACATAGGGGTTGATCAAACATTGCTGTCACGTCAAAAAAGTGCTTTAGCATATAAACACATATGAATCAAATCATACCAAAACCATTTCAACATCGATAGCATCCTAACAGTTATTGTTTCGCCCAGGTGGCTTATTTTTCCCAATAGATACCAATTTCTCAAATATTGTTATTCGAGCTGAGGATTTTATTTTAGCTGGAAACTATGAATATCTATTTTTGGGTCGAAGATGATAGGGAACTAAAAGAATTTGCTGTGCTCCCGTGAGTCCCGTGATAGCCTCGTTATTTCGCACATACTCACCATAAGCAAAAATACAGTGTTTAACGTCTGATAATTTATGGCTAACACTCTAACTGACACAATACACAGAAATGAATGACACCCCTCCCCCCCCGTGACATTGCGACAATAACTTCCACGCCTATAATTTATCATTTTTTAAACGTCCAGTTACGGTCGGCAGGGCCGTCCCTAGGGTTGGCGGCGCCCGGAGCAAACGTGGTCGTGGCGCCCCCTCCTCCCCCTAGTAATAGTCGCATTCGCATATTTTTAATACTATGTTAATACAAATAGCCGTGCCGCAGCGCCCCCTCAGCTGTGGCGCCTGCGGCAGCTTGCCCCGGTTGCCCCCTTCGGACGGCCCTGCCGGTCGTTCACCCTGTATACAACAATCCTATCCTACAAACCTCTTAGATGTCAATCTTTTGAATTTGTTGTGTGATTTGCTCTAGTGATTCATTTTTACACTAGTGTCCCTGTTGCTCGAAATCGAGCAATTGCTAAGTATTACAGGCGTTATTTTAAAACGAATAACAGTCATATTTTTTTATGACTATAAAAGATTCGGCTCAAAGATTATGGAATACTCAAGATGTACATAACAGATCGATATAATCAACATTTCTTGTAAATATCTCATTTTTCAAAAGCTGATTTTGTTTTTTAGTGTTTATAACACACATTATTTCTATTTCTTCCCCTTGGTGGTGTTCTATGACTTTCCTATGTTTCCATAGTTTGCAAATCGTCTCTTTCAATGATTACTAAGAAATGCAGCACAGTGTTAATTCAGTTTTCTTTTTAGTATATCAATTTATCCAGGCTCTCTCGTTTTTTCCCATTGTAATAATTACGCCAACCCAAATTCAAATAGTAACTATTTCATTTAAACCGAGTAAGTAAATGTTTGTGGCAAACTAACTGTTAAATTAGCAAACTTATTGACTGTTTACAATTAACATATGTTCTTCTTCTCACTTTTAATTTCTGACAACAGCTGGAGTTTCATAACAATATTTGTTTCCCATGTTAATCTTATGGAGAAATACAAAACTTTAAAGGGCCCCAGGGCCTCACCCTCTAATTATTTCCCTAAAAAGAGAAGTTTTCGGTTCAGTAGTTTCGGAGGAGTAATTGTCACAAAAAACCTGCTTGCGTATTAAATAAGTACTAGTTGCTCTGCCCGTGCTTCGCTACGGGGGTGAGAATGCAGAAAAGAATAATTTGGTTTTACTTTAAGATACTTAGGTGTGCTATTCCCGTAAATTCTGACGTCACTTGGATTGCAAACAAAAGATCACCTGATTGTAACTGTCATTTTGGTATGTGTTTGTTTTGATTTGATTGTTATTGTTTTTGTAATGTTTTCAAAATAGTGGAATGGCGATTTGTGCATTTTCCGGTTGTAAAAATTACTATCGCAAAACTAAAGACTCCCAAATAAAATAGTATAGATTTACAGAAAATGATTATCTAAAACGACAGTGGTTACGATCGTGTGGTCGGTTTGGCATTAATGTGAAAAACGCACGGGTCTGTTCGGAACATTTCGTAACACCTTTAAAATTCGTAACCGCGTTTTAAGAAATCGGATAACAACTTAAAATGTAATGATCGACAAACCCTTTCTAAAACTGAACTGAACAACGTTAAACTTTCATTTTATTGTATAAGTGACTGTTAAAAGTATCGAATTCAATATATTGTGGTTATAAAAGTGAACAACCTCTCATTAAAATAGAGTTCATTTTAGTCGGTAAAGGTTTAATTAAAAATTAGGTTTATTGTTATAATTCAACTAGGATACAATACATAAGACAAAATACCCTAAGTCATGGCATAAAAAAACAAACAAGACATTGCAGTACTGTACAGTGTGTGATAGTTGTAGGCCTACAATAAAGACAGTGTTCAATAGTTACTAATTAGCCTAGTTATGATTGTTAAATTTCTAACTCTATGACTTTTTAAATATTTAACATTGAAAATTACAAACATTGGAATAAATATCAAACAAACTTTTAAACACTCATTAAAACTTTTTGTTTTCTTACAGGCTCGTCTACCTTTTTAACTTCTTTAACTTATTTGTCATTTTTTTCCTTCCTTCCTCAAATGCAGCATTAGAGTTTGTGTTGAGGTGCTTTATTCGTATATAAGTTCTAACTTGTATCAGTCGTAACGCCGCTTCATCGGGGATATTTGGATACAATTCTTTGGTTTTAATCACTTTATCAAACACTTTGTTTATTATACCACGCTCTTTGCAAACACATTCACCATGAATTTCATTGAATGCATTTTCAATCTGTCTGGCAAAGCCTAAGAAATCGTCTGAAGGGACGCTTAACCCCCCTTTGGAAACAGTCTCGATCCACTGCTGAGATGTTTCTGGATCAACGCTCAATATGTGGCTTGAGGGTGTTCCCAGGTGGGGATATTTTTTCTTCAACTTAAATGCGACATAACCAGCCACATATCGCAGTCCTTCGTCCCCTATGATGTCTGCTGGTTTTGACTCTGGAGGTATTATGAATGACAGATCTAGAGACAAATCTTCTTCGTCATCGTCCATATCGTCATCTGGAGGCGTTGTAAGCACAGTGCCTAAAATCTTTGCGCTTTGGCAGAACTCCATTTCAACTCCTTCGCAAGCTGTAGGTACATATGTTTCAAAGGTTGAAACCAAGCACGTTTCATCATCCGGTTGGACATTTCCTTTCACAGCAAAGGCTGTAGAGGAATGTTTGCCTAGGATATACCATCGTAATCTATACGAGAACTGCATTGGATCTGGGTGGTCATACGCCCTACCCATACTTCTTATGTAGGAGAAGAAGTTTTCCAAGACATCTTGGTTCAGTTTTGATGTAATTATAAATTTAGTTTTATATCTTTTGTGTAGATCATCAAACATATCTTTGAGTGATTTATTCGTGATTAGAATTCCTTTTTGGAATGGCAGTAAGGATTTCTTTCCAAATACTAATATGGTTGAAATGAACTGAGACATATTATCCAATATGTTAGTCTGTTTCTCGATCTGAACACCAAATGCACATTTCTCAGGAATCTTGTGATTTGGTATTTGGGAATTAAGTACATCAAACCAATCATTAAATAACCCAATCATTTCAGAAGTGAGCTTCCAGTTAGGATCCGTCAATAGACCTTTTTCTCCTAAGAATTCCACAGCCTTAGAGGTACAGTTTGACATTAGTTGGGCAGCCAGTTTGACGTTTTGTTTATTTTTGACATGTATGTGGTCACTTTTCAGCTTGAAAGCAACTTTTAAGTCGGAATCTTGAAGCTCCATAATTTCTTCAAGACACTTAGAGGTTATGTGAGTTCCGTCAACAGTAATGAACCCTTTGTTCAAAAAGTGATTTCTAGCCAGTTTCAAGAGGTGTGGAGCGTCACCAAAAACGTAAATGTTTCTTGATTTGTCGAAAGGATTTGGAAAATAAGTTTTATTTGTAGTTATTCCTAATGAATTCCAAACTGCTCGGTTTTCACCGCCCAAATCGCACGTTACTGATACAATTTTGTATCCAGTCTTTTCAACTGAAGTGATTATCTCATTTAGAGTTCCAAGCGTCATTGGTTTGTCAAACTCGTAGTAAACAGGTTGCTTCCACTTTCCTGTTAGTCCTCTGATAAATGCGACTTGCACTTGCTCATGAGGACCAACAATCTGTTCATTTATTTTATCGAAACCCATTCGACCACTCACACTCATTTCGTCAAATGAAAGACATGTGAGTTTTTGAAATTCGGTCATTGTCTTAGCATATTGTTCAAGGACCAGTAACACATGTCTCATTATTCCTGGCAAACATTCAAATTTGGAGGCCCATTTTCTGAGAGTGCTCAAAGCAGGAAGAGGGTAATTTAATTTGCTTCGCATGTAGCGGTAAGCTTTTGCACTTATCGATCTGAGGCTGATGGCGCAAGCAATGTCCTCGTTTGACCAACGGACCCGTTTTTTCGGATTTAATAAAACTTTTATTTGTCCTGGTGTAAAGACTTTGGACAACACAGCAGTTAATTTCTCATCTTTATGTTTACACTGAGCATTTAGTTCTTTCATTTCTTCGTACAAAGAAGATTTTTCTAAAACTGTTTTACAAACTAAAGATTTCATTTCTTGTTTTAGTTTTTCGTTTTCGTTTTCTAGATGTTCAATTTTTTGTGACATTAATCTCAATTTTTCTTGCAAATCTTCAATTTCGTTAGGTAAAGTTTGGTGTTGGATTTCAATATCATTTGATGACGATTCTTCTGTTGTTTGTGAGGTTGCCAAAGTGTTCTTCGTTTCCAAAGTGCCATTTTCGTTTGATTGTTGGATCTTCAAAGTTGGAATTGCATCTTTTTTTAGGTTCCTAAAATTGGTTGGTTTATAATTTAGAATTTTGAATTTTAAAGGTGTTACGAAATTGTCCTCAGTAAAATGTTCCGAACAGACCCGTGCGTTTTTCACATTAATGCCAACCCGACCACACGATCGTAACCACTGTCGTTTTAGATAATCATTTTCTGGAAATCTATAATATTTTATTTGGGAGTCTTTAGTTTTGCGATAGTAATTTTTACAACCGGCAACTGCACAAAACGCCATTCCACTATTTTGAAAACATTACAAAAACAATAACAACCAAATCAAAACAAATACATAGCCTATACTAATTTGACAGTTACAATCAGGTGACCGTTTGTTTGCAATCCGAGTGACGTCAGAATTTACGGGAATAGCACACCTATGTTTTTTCCTTCCACCATGATAATATACTATAAGGAACAGTTACAACACACTTACCAGGAAAAACATATAGGCAAAGGCTCAATCGTACCTATTGATTATTTAAATGAATATCTCTTAATTTATTACAGTACCATCATTTTATAGAGTGTATATCATTTAAAATATATGCAAAAGTTTAACTCATTGACCACATGGCACCAAGAAACAATTCTCCTTGTAAACAAATTAAATTAAATAGCAGAACAGCATTTCTGACAACAGCTGGAGTTTCATAACAATGTTTGTGTCCCATGTTAATCTTATGGAGAAATACAAAACTTTGAAGGGCCCCAGGGCCTCACTCTCTAATTATTTCCCTATAAAAAAAGTTTCCTGCACAACTTCATGTTACGCTCTTTACAATGACACCAAAAACATGTCAATCGGTTCAGTAGTTTCGGAGGAGTAATTGTCACAAAAAATCTGCTTGCGTATTAAATAAGTATATAGATAGATGCCTAAATAAAAAAATCAGATTTTAAAAACAATGTTTAACGTTAGTTCTACTTTTCAGATTTTGAAAAGAATGCAGAAATCCAGAGCCATTCACAGGTTCGAACCGAATTTAGCAATTGATAGCGATGGTCACAGTATCACATCCAACACACTAGAGGTGGCGGATATGACGAAAGAGGAGAGAAAAGAGGCTTTGTCAAGGTTTATTCTGTCACGTAAAATTTTAAGAGAGAAGAAGATGAAGAATAAATACAGTTGTGATAGAGAGGTTAATTTAACAAACGAAACAGCCAGTGAAGATATTGAAGATGAAGATTATGATGTGGACGATTATGTAGAGGAGGATTTTGAAGAGGAGAAATTTAGAGGATAGTCTCGGAATTAGTTTAGTTGTAAATACTGCAAATAAATATATGTGTATATATTCTGATTTTGATATTTTTAGTTTGACTCCGTTTTCTCTTAGATATTTACATTAAATAGTTCAGTTTAGAATAATTAATCACTACAACAACATTATTAACAAGTCAACATTTTACTTAACAGCTGTTTACATTTTAAGCCCCAAAAGCTGATATATTCATTACTAACAGAGTACCCGTCCTTCGTACGGGGTTGGCAAATAAGTATAAAATGCTTATTGCAGTTATACTCGATCTTTGCGTTTGCAATGTGAGAAGACACGGTTTGAGAAAATTGTCCTCATCAAATTTACGGTATGCTATAATATTACACATCTACCATAGCCATAATGTTCTACCACTTCACCTATTGAGAAAGATAGATTATAAAAATTTCGCAAAATATCACAAATTATTCCTGAAATTAAAAACATAAACACAACTGTAAACAATCCTACATTGACAGTTCTCATTGCGTATCACAGTTTTTTGTTGCTGCTTAGTTCAAATTAGCTGTTTTCATAAATATTGAAAAAAAATAATGTGCTGCACCCTTTTGGTAAATCTTGTAAATTTGTATTGCTTTTGCATATCATAGAACGAACTCTTTTAGTTGAAACAGCTGGCTAAATTCTTTAATTCCCTTTAAATATGAATACTCATAAGGTTAACATCGGGAACTGCAGAGCCACTGGGGTGGAGCCCGAAAGGATTTTTGAGCTAAGAATATGCCTATATGTTAATCGGGAATGTGAACTATCATGATGCCAAATTTCAGCCCAATCCGACCAGTATTTTTCGCTTTTACTTGTCACAAACATACATCCATACATCCAAACTTTGTCACTTATTATATTAGTAGGATAGCCAATACGTCACTTGCAACTGTCTGAGAGTATAACATGAATAAAAGCTGAAAGCTGACAACCTGGGAGACTCCTCAGAACCACTGCTTGAACTTTAGGTTTACCAATAGTGATAGAATGGTAGACTGTAAGGAAGTTCAATGGTGAAGTGGCCAATCAATTTGTTGACTCCCAACATTTATCAGGTTTGGTTTGCAACTTAGAAGTTTGGATGTAGAGGAAGTCTGAAGAGGTACACATAAAGTAAGCGGTGGGAGGTGGGAGAAGAAGTTGACAAGATGGGTGGATTCTTTGATGGTTGCAAATCAAATCAGACTTTTTGCTAAATCTAACCTATCCTTACAAAGTACACAAAATACTAATTTTATAAGATTTAAATAGGCTAAATTAGAAGCACTCGGATTTGCTGACAATACAATTACTAGTCAAGGGCTCCAACTCCTTGTGATATATTGGAGATTCTCTCCTCAAAGGCATAGTTAACAGCAAACAAACTTAAAGCTTAATGGAGAAAAGAATCTAAGAATGGTATGCACCTTAACCTTATAGTTCCAAAACAAAACAAAATTCACTGTTGTACACGGCTTCATTATTTACCTAAGCTGACATGGGTTAGACACATTGAGATCGTATGCAGAAAGTTGGCCAGAGTAGTGTCTTGCTGCTATGGTCTACCACTAGCTGTTTCATAGTGTACTGAGCTACAGTCTGCTTCTATGGGGACATGCCCAACCTGCAATGATATTCTGACATCATTATGGTGTGGGTAGCCTCCGGATTGCGAATAATAACTATGATAGTGGTTTAAATACCTTATTCATGCAATCCAATTGTTGTCTTCACAACTAGTTTCAACCTGCTAGGAGGTCATCATCAGTGTACAAGGATGATATTACTTCATATGAATGAATATCATCCTTGTACACACCTGATGATGACCTCCTAGCAGGTTGAAACTAGTTGTGAAGACAACAATTGGATTGCATGAATAAGGTATTTAAACCACTATCATAGTTATATTCTGACACAAGAAAAAGCAATAATTAGAGTCATTTAGCAAAAGACTAGGCAAGTTTTTTTTTTCAGAATAAACATTTAGTTTTCATCGCCATTACTTTCTGTGATATGCTACATATAAAGAGCTGCCAATATTGTAAAACAGTATTGTTAATGACCATCAAACTAGACGCAATCACAAACACAACATGGACATTCCTTTTTGCCTTTCTAAGACATAACACCTACCTGACCTTAGGATCTATTATAGCTTGCCTTAAGACTTAAAAAAACCTGGAAGTCCACAAATTTAGTGCAGTGACGACATGGCTAAGAAAATGTAAATTATCGCGTAATATCTGAGAGGAGATATTTTGAAGATTAAAACAGTACAGTGATATGGTCATCCATCACCATGTAACGTATAAATAGAGAAACACCAATAAAGCTGGGTTTTCCTAGTATATAGGCACCAAATGCAGAACGCAAACAGAAAGCGGAGAAGTGATTTGTTTATATTGTGGTCTGTTCTGCCTATAGGAGAACAGAACCATCTATCTATATATATAATACGCTAAGCCGATTTTTGTGAACAGAACTCCTCTCTCATTTTTGGACCGATTTTGATGATTAAAGTGTCCAAAAAATTGCCCTGATCTGTAGTTTTGCAAAGTGTTTTTCGTTTTTTGGTATCTTAATTAGTTTGGGCAGGATCTTCCATCAAAGTTGGATTTTTTCCCATAAGATTAACATGGTGGAAACTAAAAATTCAATTGGAAACTTTGTCTCCACTAATTTGAGAGAACGGCTGGGCGTAGAAACTTGGTAGGGGTGTCAAAAGAAAGGTCTTGGTCTGTAGATGAGTTATCAAAAGAAAAACGAAGTAAATTCCCTTAGGGCTCTGCCCCAGAAGCCTTTAAAGATCCCTCTACAGATTTGTTTACATTTTGGCCATGTGGATAATACTTTTTAATGAAACAGCTGTTAATTTGTAAATTGTATTTTAAACAAGACACATTAATTGGGAGTTACTGACCAAAGGAAGTATTTGCAATGTTATTTTCTGATTTTAAAAGCGATTTTCTTCTGTATCATGTCATGTTTAGTAATATACCCTTCCATTACGAAATCTGTGAAAAATCCTTTTATCACAGTAACTCTTACAATTATTTCTTATTGAACTATCTTATATCTATTTTACGGGTTGGTGTCTGCCTTTTTCACCACTTTTGCCTATATTTTAACAAATTATTCTAGACAGGTCATCATAGGTTCATGAGATTATATTGTCATACAGGTTTTCAGTCTTTGGGAAAATCTTCGAGTGTGTAATACAGTACAAAATAATGCAAGTAAGAGCAGAAGTGCACGGGGGCCATTTGAGCCGTGTCCATATTTTCTTAAACTAATAGTAGTTTACGGCAACTAGATAAAACATTTTACAATATTTATGTAGAAATATGTGCATTATTTAGAAAGTCATTAAGCTGGAAACCTGCAATTTACTGCAGACTTTTCAGAGAGGTTTCTTTGATGTATTCATTAAGCTTAGTGAAAACATGATATATATGTATACAAATAAGAACTTGAACTCTTAGAGAACCTTTGAATGTTATTACTACTCAGCAACAAAAATAATTTAATTTATCTAAAAAAAATACTGTAGATTCTTAAAGTGCACTGAGCAGCAGCCTAAAAAATACTATGTAGCTTCCTCATATAGTTACAAAATGCTCAAACTCGCATTGTCACATTTATGATTCGGCTTATATTTCTCCAACATTTATTCATCTGCAGAAGAAGTTCAGTGTGCTCTTACCGTGTCTAATAACATCTAAATACAAAAACCTTGCCTAAATGGTACCTATCTTGACAAAATTATTTGCAGTGGTCTATATTACGGACCGTGGCCATCCGTGGCCCACTGGGTTGGTAACATTATTGAAAGTAACATGATATTTTGGCTGTAAGAGTAAATGCTATTTAAGCAGCTACTGTCATGACAGAAAGGTCATAATCCTTTTAAACTAGATCACATTATCCATTATAAGATACGTTGATTAACAATGAATGTAAACGTCAATATTTACGTAACAGCCAATTTACAGTATGTTTTTCTCTTTGAAAGTACCACATTGCTATTTCATTTGCATTATTTGTTGCCAATGAAGTCACACGACCATATAAACGAGGAGGCCCCTTACCGTCGATTTCGACGGGTTTCACCTAGTTTTAAATAATAAGCTAAGACAAGAGGAGAGCCAACTCTGTTGTCCGCTCTCTTCGCTCCGCCACCATGCACATGCCTAGGAAACCCCTGCTACCATGGTACTGGCGCAACAGGTTTTTACTATGGTACAGTAGTTACTGTGTACCTACCTATAAAAGTTTATGCTTTAACAAAGTGTCGTAAAAGACACAACCAATCCAATGTAGTTGATGGTTTTGTTACAGAATAAGACACAACCACAGAGCAGAGAATAAAAATGTCACAACCAAACCAATGTGGTTGGTTTTGTCACAGAATAAAGAGTAGACACTCTATTCTGTGGTTTTGTTTTGTGAAAGAAGAGGGACTTCAAAATTAAAACAAAATGCAATAAACATGGTATCAGTGTGGTATGGTTTCATAACAGTTTACTTTTCATTAGGTATGAAATGTATCATCTATATCTATAAAATCCAATGTATGTTTGTTTGTATGTTTGTCCTTTATGGACTCCAAAACCGCTCTATTGACTAATTTTTGCCTTGAGCTTGTGTCATGTTGCAATTGTTAATTTGCTGGACTTTTGCATGTTATTTATTTTGAGTGTAACAAACTTGTACTTATGAAATGGAACTTGGACTTTTGATGCCATGGAAGATTTTGTGTTGTGTATGTGTTTATGTGTGTTTTGACGAGTACAAGACATCACAGACAAAAATACCCCCGCCGCAGCAAACCTGCAGACTAAGCAAATACCCATTTGACTGATTGGATTTACACTGAAATGTCTACTTAAAAATATAACATTTATTCCCGATTTAAATAGAATTAGTTTAACAAGTACTTAGGTTTGCTGCATCAGGGAGGGTAAAACTGTTTTTTTTTGTAAAATGTTAATAGTTAGTAAGAAATCAAAACATTTTCCAAATTTGATCAAAATATGTTCATAAACAAGCAA